CTCTCTCTCTCTCTCTCTCTCTCTCTCTCTCTCTCTCTCTCTCTCTCTCTCTCTCTTCACCTCTTGCTCCCTCCATCCTTTTGAGATAAGGTATAGTAGTAATATATGCCGCACGCAGTCAAACATATATGTCTACATAAATATATTTATACGCCCGCAAGCAAACATATCTATGGGAAAATTTTTTAATTGAATTATCACATACATGCATCTGTTATATTTACTCTACGGACGACGTTTTTACCATTGTTGTACAGTACGTACGTGGTTATACATTTAATTGAATGCATTAAAAAACATGCTTGAGCAAACAAATTAATTACATTTTCTATGCATTGAATGCGGATAGTATGCAGAAATAGCTGCAAAATAATCACTTATGCATACAATATATAGAAATAGAAAAAAAGAAAAAAAAAAAAAACACACACACACACACGCGCACGCGCGACATATAGAAAACCGACCAGAAGAACAACGAGCAAAAAAAAGAAAAAATAAGAGGAGAAGTGTAGTAAAACATCATTAAAATATTTCACTGCTAAAATCTAATTCATATATAACAATTCAAGCACAAGCGGACACACACATTCATACCCATTGCACATACATACATCGCAAATCCTTATATTGAATAGTAAATGTCCTAGATTTTATTTAATTCTTTCTCTTCTTCTTTTTTTTACCCCTTTTTGTTGCTTTTTGCTTTTACCACTTAACATGCGATTTATGTATGTATGCATCTACACATAATAATTTTGTATTTATGTTCAGCCAAGTGCTTGGATGGATGAGTGTGTGTATTGTGTGTGTATTCGTTTGTTCGAAATAAATGACTGCGCGTATTCTACTAGTAAAGTAATTTTTTCCTCAACTTTTTTTTGCGTTTTGGATTTTTGTGGATAAAATTTCGTTGCAGCCACAAAAAATATGGTTGCAATCAGAAATGCACATTCATGAAATTAGATTGCGTGCTTACCATACTTACGGTTACATAAATGCACATACACGCACATACATATGTACCTGTACATGTACGAAAAAAAAAAAGAAGCTTTTTACGCACTTATGTATATGTACATATTTATATACATATATATATATATATATATATAACGAATTGTGGTCCGCTGAACACACACACTCGTATATAGAGACTTTATGTATATGTATACATCATCATCATTATTATCGTCATCGTCACCGTCTCATTGCCCACCACCACCACTACCACCACCAAACAACCAACAAACCTTCCACACACAACCAGCAAGCCCAACAAAATCTTATACAAAACCGACATTATACTTATGCATGTATGTACATTTTACTTTATAAGCTTAGGCGATCGTAGATCGTAGCATCTTTTAAATCCAACTGCATAATGTATGCAAAAACCATTTCATACGCAGCCACACAAAGGCGCGTAAGCGTAAGCGTACACACTTCGCAACGCTTCCTATCTCTGTATGAGGTAGATTTCTTTCTGGTCTGCTTGTGATAGTGGTTTCTGACAAAAAGTAAAAACGAAAATTGCACAAGTACAAAATTCGTACATTTTCATTGAAATTCAACAAAAGAAAATGTTATGCACAAAAAAAAGAACAACAACAACATTTGTAGTCATATAGATGACATAAAATTGAGTATTCCCTTGTCTTTTCAGTTCCATATACGACGTGTCCTCCAGTAAACAAAGTTAATCAATTCCTTTACTTCTATATAGATATTCCGGTAATACAAGTTTTTTTTTTTTAACTCGTTACATTATTACTAGTTAAGTCGGCGAAAAAGTGCCCAACTTCTTATTTTCTTCAACTATACGAAAACGAAGGAAGTGCTTCGAAGAACGAAAAAATCTCTAGCAGTAGTGTATTATATTTGAAGGCGAATTATTTTGAAGACGGACAAAATAGATATTTAAAGTATTTTTCGAGAAAAATAAAAAGTAAACGCACCCCGTATATGGATTTTATTATAGAAGGCTCGATTTTAATATAGAAAGCTCGTACCTGCGGGGTGGCTTATCGAAAATATTTATCAGTCGCAATAAGATGTATGTTACACCCAGAGTCGAGTAGGCAAGAAGCGCGCTTGCAGTGTCAATGTTTGTGGGTGCAAATCTCAAGTGCGGTAGAGCTTTCTTTGGTGGTAGCTATAGGTGAGTGCTCAATGGGCATAGTGTCTGTCCACCTACTAGTCTGCGGACACTATCTCCCTATTTCTTTCACTTTTCTCTCCTTTTCCGGACAGCCATCGTATTACACGAATAGAGGCCATCCCCTGAGTGCTTTGGTCGTTTAAAAAAAAAAAGGTCTAATTATATTGAAAATTTGTGCAGATTTTCATATCGAAGAGCTTCTACTCTAGTGTCTCAAAATGTTTCCATGCCAATCGAACCAAGGCTTGAAGATATGCAAAGTAAGGTCAACATTCATCAGCCAACTTCTTTGAACCAACACCCAGCAATCGTTTCAATGTATTCTTTATTCTAGTGTTACTCGGTTTTCGTTTTGTTCGATTTGTTTGCATTTGTATACCGACAAATTCTTCGTTTGGTTATGAGTTTACATAAAAAGCTTTTCTCTCTTTATCAATTTGGTATTCGAAGTCGATTTTGTCGTTTATACCCATTTATTATCTGAGACGTGAAATAGCCAAAAACTTAACGAAAATTTCATCGCCCGACTGGCATATTTTAACAAACAAGCTTAGTAGCTTAGCCAGTGAATGTAGGCGTCTTATCTGTTTTCCAATAAGCGCAAATAATTTTGCATGCACTACTAAGTCCAAAAATCAAGACCAATTTATTCGTTCCTTTTTTAAATCTATTTGATTGATTTCGTCGCCTTCGAAGTAATCTTCAAACTCAAACTGTTACTGGTATGGCCGAGCGAAAGGAATTCATAGTGCATAACACCATGATGAACGAAGAAAACGGTTAATATAACCTTAACTTTGGCGCGTTTCTCTCGGTTTCAGCTGAACGATCGATCGTTTCCGAGTCGTATGCGTAATAGATCCCAGTCTCGTCTCATTCGCTCAACAGAATCAAGGAGAAAGTACTTTTTGTTCGTTTATGATAAGAAGTTTCACGCAGACGTCTGTCGAAATATTTTTGATATACGGTATACCCCTGCAATTTAACTTGAATACTAATCACAGTATTGTATATTGATTGCTTGATCTATACAAACTTGGGTTTGTCCACCTGTCAGATTTTGTTTTGAAATTCTCTTGGCCTCGGTAAGTGAAATACAAAGCCGAAACCTCACATCTTGGAATTAAAATCCACGAAATCCTGGTCTGCCAAAAAACGTGACCAGCATCGACAACAATCTACGAAAAAGCAATTAAAGGCCGATAATATAATAATATAATAATAGTTTTGAACAAGCAGCTGACGCAAAGAAGTGGATTTTTTTTTTACCTTAAGGAAGTGAATCTTTAAGGTTCGCCTTAACTGTAATAAATATGCTTTTTCGTATAAATTGCAAGATGGTTGCAGCAATAAAATATGCATTTTATTCAGTTCAATTTGATTACGCATCTCCTCAACATAGTTTACATATTCGTGTCTGCATGAAGAATTGGAGGAAACAATGCTTAAAAATATTTCGGTTGGTTAAGTAGCCTTCTTCAACTTTCACTTTCTAAAATTTCTTATCATTCTGACGGCTTGATTCTGTACTTTGTCTTTTCCTTCTGTAATATTTTATACATATTTTTAAACATTTTCTAGTTAATAGCGAGTTCTTATCATGTTAAAGCTACAAGAATCTGGTATCACTCTCTGGCTACCTTAGGAATTTATGAATTTTGGTCTTCCCTTTTTCTCAACATTTCAGCACAGCTACCTTTCTTTATCTTATTCTATCTAAAGGATTTCGATCGACCCAAGCAATCGCGCGAACTTACCAAAAGATATTTAAATAAGGCGTTACAAGAACTCTGTTGCCCATTATTAAATTTTTGAATTGTGTTTAATGCACGTAGGTACCCTTGGCCTATGCTATATGCAGAAGATAGAAAATTATTGAACCAATTCAGATAAAGTGTGACTGTGTGTTTATGTTTAAAATCACTACTACTCTCCTATCATCAGAAAATCGCCAAAACTTGTCTTGGATCCACCTACAAGCGCGAAGCAAATTATTACTTATTGTCTTCTGGTCGAAATTTCCAGAATGGAAATACCTCCTACCGATTAGCTCCTGTCATCTAAGTTTTAAAATAACGACTCGCTCCCAAATTTTTTATTAACATCCCGCATTTATTATTAGGTAATGATAAGGTACAGTACAGTACACACTGTATTAAATAGCTTTTAAACCAGTTAGGAATGAGGGACTTGCCTACTTTCAACCTAAGGTAATGGTGGGGATCATTTCCTCTTACTTATTGTTGTCGATCGCTGCTGTCAACCTTCTGCATGGTTCGCTAAATCCTATTTATATTACATTTCACTCATCCCTTTCCATCATTGTTCAAGTCTTAATATCACTTACCACAGGAATCTATTATTCGTATTCGCTTACTATAATTGCACTTCTGTTTCAAAGGGTATCTTAAGTGCGTCTTAAGCATAGGTTTGCTTAACAACAACTTTTATGTTTTCATATCTATTCACAAAAGGATTTTCGTGCAAATCTTAGATGGGCGGTACTGCTTACATGATAAATACGTTCGTATATATTCCGTGTAATATTACTGCTTCTTTTCCTTCTTCTTCTATATCTTGAAGAGCGCTGAATAGTAAAGTAGCAAAGGGAGATATTTTTTCTTCTCTTTTTTTTTTTCTATTTTTGTATTTCGTGTGATTGCGATAGTATTTTAAGGGAAAATGTAATAAATTTTCAGAAATGTATTTTACATACCGCAGTGCGTAAAATGAGCACTACTTTCTGATTTAGTTCAGTG